CTTTGTCCCTTACTATTTTCTTTTCTTTTTTCTCTTCATCCATCCATCCCTCCTTACTTTATATACTTCCTTCCTTTCTACTATCCTTCCTTTCTTCCTATCTTCCTTCTTTTTTTGTTTTCCTTCTTGTGTACATTCTTCCTCCTCCCTTGTTGTACTTTTCCTCTTTATTCCTTTATTTTTTTCTGTTCCTTCATTCATTCCTCCACTTTTCCTGCCACCTTTTTCACCTTCTCTTCTTTCCTTTCTGTCATTCTTCCTCTTTCCTTCCTTTCTTCAACCTTTTACTTCATGCTTTCACCCTTCCTTTCTTTTTTCCTTTCTTCCTACTTTCATTCATCATTAATCTCCCTCTTCCTCTCTCATTCATTTCTCCCTTGCTTCCTCCTTGCTTTAGTTCTCTCTTCCCTTTTGGTTTCTACCCATTATTTCTTTTGTCTACCTCGAATAGTTCTTCATCTCATTCTCTCTTTCGCACACATGCCTCTTCTTTCTCCCCCATCCACCACTACCACTATTCCCTTCTCGATGCTCTTCCATTGTAGAGCAGATTAAAGGTGTCTCAGATGTATATCACACTTAGGTTTCTGATCTTATCGCAACGCTTCACACGGCCGAACAAAAGCCACGTGAAGCTGCATGCATCGTGTGAACACACACTCCCACATTCACCTCCATGCCTATCTCTGAATACCATCAGATTCTCTTACCAGAGGAAGGCAGATTTCACCCCTGACCTGAACTCGACCCTTTCATAACATGCCGTAATCCATAACACGAACGACTCACCGTGCCCGCTCTCAGACCTGAGAATCAAAGCATTATGCCTGAAATTCATGGATGCACAGAGTTCAGCATTGACACAATGTCATTTAAACAGTGCTGTTTCTTAGGCCACGGCAGGGTCAGACCTCAAACCCTGGTGGACTTTTTAATAGTGTAACCGGTTCAAGCGCGAACTCGTGCTGAGTGTGGGTGGAGTGTTTGTGTTCATAAGCTCTATGGACTTTCCTTTGTAATGTTGGAGGAGGTAAACATTCTGGAAAACTGTGATTTTGCTCCGTGGTGCTGTGGCGTGGGTCAGAGGAGCGCTGTGTATTGAGAGTTTAGTGTTATCTCGCTCCCCCTCTCTCTCTCTGTTTGTTTTGTCTATTATATTCGCAGGCCTCTGACCTTTGCATTGCTCGGTGTGTAATGTCCTGCTGCCTGACAGCTGGAGCTAGTAATACTCCATCCGTTCCTCACACATGAACAGAGAGCGGTATATGAGGAGACAGAGAGGCTGTGTGTGATGATTGAACTCACTGGGGTTGACATAGAAGGCCATCTGAGGACAAACATTGATAAAATATGATGCATTAAATGACCTTCCTGCAGTGTTTTGATGCCAAATTGCTAACATTTATATTTGAAATAATGGTTAATTTTTGCAGGACACTGTCAATTTTAGTAAGACAGGATGTTATTCATACTGACAGTATTCACTTCTGTACGCTGTTGTGTAAACAGGGCAGTTTGAGAGTCACACCTGTTTCAGTAATATATTTCTTGTCAGTCTCTGTAACTCTGTAAATGCAGCCTATATTGCAAGTAATATCACATACTACAGGACAATTAGCGTAAATGTAATTATCCATTGAAGCTGGCACATAAATTTATTTTTGCACTACAAAATCATTGTATAGTACACTAACTATTCGTTGAACTCTGTACTGAAAATTGAAACTTTAAAAGTTTGAAATCATTATTAATGTGTCATAGTACTAATACTTATTCTGTAGAATAGTAGAATAAGAACTAATACTTATTCTATAGAAATAGGACTGTGCAGGTACAATAATTTATTCATTATTTTCTATTCTTTTCCTAACAATATTGTATGATTACTTCAGAAAAATCAATACAAAAAAATTAAACAAAAACACAAATAATATAAATAATGCTTGATTTTAAAACTATCATGTTAAAATTGTGTGTGTGTGTGTGTATACATATACATACATATATATATATTAGTGCTGGGCAACGATTAATTTTTAATCGCGATTAATCGCATGTTTGTCTGCATAATCACATTATGCACAAAATTCAATAATGCATTCAACAGTACTGTATTGTGCACTTTTTTCATTTAAAAGTACTGCTATATGAACAAAAGTGCAATAACATTTGTTTTGCAAACACTGTCAACATATTCTCCAGCGTCTCCTCGTCCCTCGTGTGTGTGCAACGTGATAAGTATGACATAAATACTTGATTGAATTTTATTTTATTTAATCCTGGACACATTATTTTACATCATAGGGATATGAAACTTTTCATTGTTAAAACATCTATCATTCCTGGTTTGTTCTGTTTTTTTTGTTGTTGTTGTTGTTTTTTGGATGTACTGGCATTATTAGATCTGAACATGATTTTCAAGTTCAAATCTTCAGGATATTTTGAGTACAATGAAAATATTATGTTAAATGAAATTGTTATCTTCGTCTGCATGAATCAAAACTGCGCACAAGTTTCTTCTGACATTGTGCAGATGGTGGATCTGCGAGAGGACCATCTAATCTGGTGCATCAGTGTAGCCGCATCACATCCCGTCCTCACATCTCCCGCTCAAAACACACACACACTCACACCTCTGTACAGTATAATAAGACCTATGTGCTTGGGTCCATAGAGGAAACAAGCTTTCCTTTATATGACCGGGATGTCATTAATCTTCATGGAGGTTTACAAATGCACTCGCATGGAAGGTGTATTTCATTGACGGGCCATTGTGCAGTCTGATCTTCCAGCATCCGTACCTTAACATTCCTACCATGTACTGCACGATATGAATGAACGTTGTGTTTTCTGGACAATATATTTATTTGAGAAGATTATTTGAAATATGCTCAGGTCATGAGATATAGGTTGGATTTACGCCACACTATCTTTGCTCCTCGCTGTGCTCATGTCTCATTCTTTTTCTCGTTTTTAAAAGACAATATTGCAGGAGTTTTTTCACGAAAGCTTCATTTTGTGCAGCGTCTGTGACAAATTGCTGCTGCGGCACAGAATGGCCTGGTTCGCTATGAGTTATGTCAAGTCAGAGCTGTTTAAGAGTTGTGCTTCCCCCAAGACACATTTCTGCTTATCCTCACCACAGGGATTAAATGCAATACAGCCTTGTCAGCTTAACATACTCATTTTCCTACACGTTTCTTGACAATTTTGTATAAATCTGTTCACTTTGTTGCAGAGTTCGGTTCCTTGTTAAAGAAAACAACACCTTAAGACCTCTGTAAATTCTCTCGCTTTTTTTCCCCATCTCTAATTTTTTTTCTTTCTGCAGATAGAGATTGAACGACTGCAGGAAGCGTTTTATATGTGTCAGGTCTCCCCTCCGCTCGACCGCTGTTCAATAATCATTCGTGGCTGTCGCTGTGGCGGCCTCTGACTGTAACAAACCTTATTGACGTTTCTGAGCCCTGATTTCCCCTCCTGGTCAAATTCAATACGAAAAACGCTGAAGTCCAAAATAGCACCTACAAGCTTCCTGCCTCTCTTTTTCTCTGTCGCGCTCTTGTAAAATTGTAAACCTGTTTGGAAACAAGTCACAATATTTTCTTATGCTGCTTATGAAAAACCTTGGATTAACATGAATTTACAGCAAACATCACAGGGGTGTTGTGATTTATATAAATAAAAAAACTAATATATACAATATATTTTCATAGATAGATCGATGGATAGATAGATAGAAATAAATTCTACATTATACATTTCCTTGTTTATGTTGTTTATGTGTGTGTATATATATATATGTGTGTGTGTGTGTGTGTGTGTTTATATATATATATATATATATATATATATATATATATATATATATATATATATATATATATATATATATATATATATATATATATATATATATATATATATATATATATATATATATATATATATATATATATATATATATATATATATATATATATATATATATATATATATATATATATATATATATATATATATATATATATATATATATATATATATATATATATATATATATATATATATATATATATATATATATATATATATATAAGAAATATCTATAAAATACACAGTTGTTATTGTTTTTTATATAAATAAAATGTATATGTTAGAATTTAATTAGTAAAATATTTTCATTTAATATAGAAATATTTTTTATTTGCTTTATATAAATATGTTTTTTGTTTTTCAGTAAAATGTTTCTCACATTGCTCCACATTTCTTTGTTGCTATCACATGTGAATAACATGAAACTAGTACAGTACCTGCACAAATATATCTATTATGGTTAAAAAAGAAGAAGAAAAAAACTACAGCACAATCTCCATCAGTTTACCTGTATCCATAATCATACTGCCAGCCCAAATGTGTAGCGCTTTTGGCCTTTGCTAAAAGCTTTTCATCAGGAAACATGTCCTGCGCTGTCTGTAATTTTCTATAAAGAGTGCTAGACTTCTTGTTCTGGTGATTTTCACAGACAGTGATTAGTGTTTTTCACCAGACCTGGGACAAATGGACACTCAATTTATCATCACTATCAGACCCTCAGCTTGACACCAACATATAGATGTATAAATACACCCGCATACGAGCACGCTCTCATTTTTCACCTTATTTAATTTGGGCGTCGTACCTACATTAACCCCGTGGCTTTATTTGAGCTATCAATCTATAGCAGTCATGGGAGAGGGGGCTGTTTGCTCTCTGCGGCTGCATCTCCCAGAGCATTTGCATTTATTATGGCAGCCTGCAGTGAAGTCCTTCTCATTTCACACTTTGAAGCTTCCTCCAGGGATGGATGGAGGAAAGAAGATCACTTTGACTGGTTGAGATTGTTTCTCCACATCTGCCGTCAGCTGTCATTTTAAACGGCGCGAGTATGTCTCTGTCCCACCGCGTGGACGGATGCCTGTGTGGTGCTTATGGATGTGTTTTTCTGTGTCTCCCCACAGGACGCCGTGGTTTAATGGCTGGGGTTTTAACCTGCCCAGGGGACAGTCCCTGCTCGATAAGTGGAACCTCATCCCAGAGGGCATTGATATTCTCATGACCCATGGGCCGCCCCTCGGTGAGTTCAATTAACCAATCCTAATGGAGTTCCATCCAATTATTCAAATGCTCGAGAATACATTAAATGGCTTTTGCATGAAGCCTGTTGTCATGCTTGTCAAGAAACCCGTCATACAAAGTTATAGGAGAAGGAAAGAGTGACATTTTTGGCATACATGAAGTAATATATATCTTCAGAGATTTCATTAAAACTAAAATTTAAACCATAAAAACACATTTTCATTACTTGAAATAAATGTTACCTGAAATAAAATAAAATATTAAAAAACATTTTATTTCTGTAGTATAAGTTGCTAAAATTAAAACTTTAATTTAAAACTATATCGACATATTTAAGAAAGCCAAAAAAAAAAATATTACAAAACCGTGCAACAAAATTGCCAAAACTTACACTAAGATCTATCCCCAGAGCAGGGTATTATTGTTAACTAAAACGAAATAAAAAACCATAACCATAAAAAAATACTTTAAATAAATTATACATTACTGTAAATGAAATAAAATATTTTAAAAATGTATTTTATTTCAGCTAGTTGCCAAAACAATGTTACCTTTTTTTAGTATAAATTGCAGAACTAAAATAACTAAAATTAAAACCTAATAAAAACTATATGGACATATTAAAAAAAAAAAAAAAAAAACCCTAATAAAAAATAAAATGAGCATGCAACAAAATTTTAACGACAAAATAACAAGTTTTTATTGTTAATTAAAACTAAAACTAAAAACATAACCATAAAAAAATCATTATTAAAACAAAATAAACATTACCTGAAATGAAATAAAATATTATTATTCACTAAGTTTAACTACAAAAATAACTAAAACTTAATAAAACATATTTAAAAGAAATCCAATAAAAAAAGTGACAAAACCACACAACAAAATTACTACAGTTTCACCTCAAAGGGAAAAAAAAAATTCCAAATATTAACAAAAACTATAATGGAATATCAATGCACCTTAGAGGGTTTTTTTTTTTATTACCGATTGTCTTGTTTTTGAAGCTTTAGGTTAAAAAGCGCTAATGATTGATGAGTCACAATCTGTTTTTTCTCTGAGATTAGAAACTGGTATTTATGGTGTGTGTGTGTGTGTGTGTCTGTGTCTGTGTCTGTGTCTGTGTGTCTGTGTGTGTAGGTTTTAGGGACTGGGTACCGAAGGAGCTGCAAAGAGTTGGGTGTGTTGAGCTGTTAAACACAGTCCAGAGGAGAGTCCGGCCCAAGCTCCACGTCTTCGGAGGAATTCATGAAGGTGAGTCACCACAAAGACAAACTGGCCCTTGCAAAAAAAATTAATGAGTCATTGTGCACCACAGTGATTTCCATAGTCGAAGGGTGTTTATTGACAAGGTATAAAAAGAGAGGCAACAGCAATGTGATAAAATACACCAAAGGTTCAATCATTAATCAATTTTATGAATTATAATCACAATAAAGACTACAAAAAAAGAGGCCAGAAATATTGCAGCATCACTTTGTGATACACTTTGTGTCCTGGTCCAGAGGTAGTCGAGGACACATAGTGATCGGATCTCAATGTAATGTAAACGCAATCCAGCCATCGTGTCTGCATTCGCAGGTCAACGTCACGCAAAACCCCGCCCCCTCTCTCCCGATCTGTCAGAAGAGAGAGGCCGTGGAGCACTAGGGAGACTTGTATAGTTATTTTCCTTTGTTAAATATCCCGCGACTGAAAATGATTTTCAAAAGAAAACCCACCACTTCGGGTCGACTTTGCCATCGTCTGCAGACTTATTTAAATATTGCGCGGGAAAAACCGATCCGATCAGTTATCCAGATAGAGAAGTCAGCTGATGTTGCCAAGTGTAAACGCCCCGTGGCCTGATTGACTGACGATCCGATCTGCTTGATCGGATCACGGTGATCACATGATAATGCCACGTGTAAACGCAGCCTTTGTGACAGAAATGGCTTGTTCTTTCCTTTAGAGATTTAGAGTCTCAGAACAGCATTAGCTGCATCAGCACAAACATAAACCCAATAAGCTGTCTAGGATATAAATATATATGGATATGGGTTGCATTTTAACACCAGATTTGGCTACAAGTTCAACCCAGTACTGAGGGAAGAGGGTTCAAAGAGATCTGCCTTTGGGTTCAACTTCAGACTCTGTTCACCAGATGTGCTGCATCCCCTCACTTCCTCCCTCCAGCTTTTGAGGCTTTTCATTATTATTATATTTTTAATTAAACATGTTTAAGACAGAGAAGGGTTTCTGAGCCCAGGGGCTAATTTGGACAAGTGCTCCACTTGAGGAAGGGCCTTGTATGGTTTATTGTGTTTACTCAATGTGTTTGTATGCACACACACAGTCAGTGGGCAAACTCATAACTCCCTTTTCTGTCAATACATGCACAGACTTGCTGCTGTGAGAATGTAAGAAATACTGCTGCTGCACATATAACATATGAAATAACCCCCATATATAACATACATGAAATCACCCTGTAGCAGGTCTATACAGGTGGAGCTGGGGGAGGTGGAGGGTTTCTGAAGCGCATGGCAAACTGCTACAGAAAGCACTAGCCAAATGTTAAGCAGCAAGCTCATTGGCTGCTGATACAAAACGAATGATGATGTAATTATATCAGATTGAGTTAGAACCTATATTGAGTTAGAAGCTGTGCCATCTAGAGTTTCATGGCAGAACTTTGTATTTTAGCAGTCTTTGTTAAAAAGTGTGGAATTAAAGAATGTTCAATAATAGAAAATACACTGCCGTTCATAGGTTTTGTGTCAGTAAGATATTTTTGGAAGAAATTAATACTTTCATTTAGAACAAATTAAAATGGATCAAAAGTGATGGTAAAGACATTAATAATTTTACAAAAGATTCCTTTTTGCAAATAAATGCTGATCTTTTGACTTTACTAATCAGAGATTCCTGAAAAACAAAACGTATCTTGGTTTCCACAAACTTATTAGCTGTTTTTTTACATTATTAATAAGAAGAAATGTTTCTTGAGCACTAAATCAGCATATTAGATTGATTTCTGAAGGATCATGTGACACTGAAGAATGGAGTAATAATGCTGAAAATTCAGCTTTGCATCACAGGAATAAACTACTTATTAAAATGTATTAAAATATTAAACAGTTAGTTTAAACTGTAATAAAGTGCCACAATAGTAGTGTTTTACTGTTCTTTTGATCCCATAAATGTAGTTTTGGTGAGTCTAAGAGACTAAAAATTCTTACCAACCCCAAACTTTGTGATCTTTTGTGCATCATTTAGTGGATTCTTTTGTCCAAAATGACTTCAAAGTGAGGAAAAACACCAGCAATTTGTATTCAACTAAAGAGAAGTCATATGGGTTTGAAACAGTTTCATTATTGGATTTGTTCTGTAACTCCTCCCTCTCTGGTTTCCTCTAGGTTACGGCATTATGACAGATGGGTACACGACATTCATCAATGCCTCTACCTGTACAGTGAGCTTTCAACCCACAAACCCTCCCATCGTGTTCGACCTCCCGAACCCCCCCAGCTCTTGAGACGCCCGTGAGCGTCGCCATATTCTCCTTATGTTTTCTAACAATACTTTGAAAGAAAAGATAGTTGAATGTTTCTTTTAAAATCGCCAGTCTTTTGCTAAAAGATTCAGTGGACGTTTCTGATGATGGACAGGGTCATGCAGGTCTCGCGTACAGAAGTGGTGAACAATCTTATGAAAAGATCTGATTAAATCTGTAAGATAATAAGCTTTGTGAATTTGTAAAATTGTCTCTTTTTTTGTCAATATTCGAAGTATGTTGGTACACTCTAAAAAATGCTGGGTTAAAAAGGGACAAACCCAGCTATTGGGTTGTTTTGACCCAGCGGTTGGGTTGTTTTGAGTCAAAACAACCCAATAGCTGGGTTTGTCCCTTTTTAACCCAGCATTTTTTAGAGAGTATGGGATGCCATTGTTCATTTTGTATATTCATTTTTCAGGATAATTAAGCTTTCTTTTAGCTGACAGGGATAATGCCTTAAACTAGCTTTAAGTTCCCCTGGCTGGAGCCCCTTCTTTCTGCTAGCGAAGAGAAAGTGTCATATTTATTGTTTTTTTATCCAAAACTAAGGGGATTTCTCTTTTTTTTTTTTGCATTCAAAGAACACTTTCTTCCAAGCGCAGGGAAGACATGGATGCATTTTAACTCATGTATTAACTATTCTGGAGCACCTCATTCTGCTTAGAAATTGGAAAATCTGAATATATCTATATGTATGTGTGTAAGCTGTAAAATCTCTAACTAAAATTGTGTTTGTTCCAAGCCTCTTGAAGAATATCATTTTGCCTGTAAGTGATGACTTAAAGTGCGTAAAGCGCACACATGCTCTTTTCTGTTTTCATGAAATGTTCCTCTGAAGCTCATTCAGTGTTGCCTACTTTACGGCGTATTGTTCCATACAATAAACGAGTACTTGAGTTGAAATTATTTTAATGTACAATCTCAAAGGTTGTGTTTTTTTCTTTGAACCTGCCGAAACCAGGTTTAGTTGTCCTTTGATATCTTGCATATGATAGATTTTGTTTTTCTCTTTTTTTGTAATTTTGCACTGTGTAAATGCAGTCTTGCTAGCACAAAAAAAAATGATAACAATAGTTGTTTCAACTCTTGCCACTGTAAATGCCTCTCAGCTTTTCTTTCAGTTACAGCCTCATTCCTGGGAAAGTTTAGATACATTTCTTCTTTTTTTTTCTTCAGGTTTCATTGTGATATATTTAGCTGCCTTTATATGCAAATAAAATTGCAAGATTTTTACTTCTAAACATTTTGTTTGGTTCATTCTCGCCTCTAGTCTAGCTTTGCACAGTCGAAGTCCGCAGGTTTTTATTGTTCACCTGACACCAAAGTTGTGGATTGTTAGTTAGTGACAAAATCTTTGAAGGGGTTTCACAAGCAGAAAAATTTATATTTATTATTAGTAGTAATGTTAGTATTAGTAGTATTATATCTAATTTTTATATCTCCAAAACTTAATTGGTCAGACAGTCTTTTCTTGTCTCAGTGGGCGAATAAGTAGACCAGACTTTATGGCAATTGTCAAATGTACAGCTAAACAGGGCTGATTTTATTTTATTCATCTATTTATTTCTTTATTTTCATTTTACCTAAAAGAGCAAATTGGAGTAATATCTTGTAAACTATACATATAATCTAATAGCTCAGAATTTAAATATTTAAATCTAAATGAATGCAATTGAAAGAATTTTAACGTCCCTTTAATGCATTTTGCACTTTCATCTCTTTGATTTGCCTTTTTGCTTTGTCACCTATATGAACTGCCCGCTGCATCTTTTTTCAATTGAGGTTGGAGGTTATTGTCGTCTGATGTCTCCAAGATATAATTCAACCACATTCCTCAATGCGAAACCTCAAAAGATCTTTTACTTCCTCCAAGCAGTCGTCTTCTAAAAAGACCTCCAGTGAATGGAAGTTTTCACGCTCACAGGAACCTCATTCACATGTATCTCTTTGTAATCCAATTTGAGAAACACATGAGCCAGCGGTATGCTAAGAGAAAGAACACCAGCAGCGCTCTGGACTTGGAGTCAAAGTGGGGGATCTCTTTTCGTCAACCTGAATCCCTCCAAGGCCACAAAAACACACTTTTCCTCAGTCTCATATTCACCCTCCCCCATCCGGCTTACTAGCAGTCACATCAAAGGCTCCAAACCAATTAACACTTCCCCCAAACGAGAGCATGAAATATAGCCCCGGACCAGCTCGTTGGCATAATCCACATAATCGTATTAGTGTAACCCTGTGAGCTGGCAGCCTGGCACTGACACTTATGTTTTCTCAAATCCTATTTATAGAAGCACCTACACTTTCTGTGTTTTAAATGAACAATGCTAATATACTACTTTTTACATTTGTGAGTGGTACTTTTCATATAAAACTCGCCACCACAATGCAACAGTGCAAGTGTTGCTGTCAGATTGCAAAGGTGTTCCGAATGTTTTTTCAGCATTTTGCCATGCAGTTGCTAAAGTGTTCTGAGAGGAATTTAGCATATATGGTTACTAAGACACCCACTTAAAAATATTTTTTTGTAGAATTATAGTTATATGAGAGTAAGAATCATCAAACAAACACCCTCAAACATAGTGGAGGGTGAATTAGCTAAAACTAATTCTGTTAGCATTTTTAATAGCGTGACAGTAGCTTAGCTGCATTCAAAAAAGTAGCTTTTCCAGTACGTTTTTTTTCTCCCTAATTAGCCGTGATAGTGACATTACAGTACATTTTTTAGTTAAAATATATTGTTGTAGAGTTATTGCTATATGACAGAGAAATCATCAAATATACACATTCCCGAACATAGTTGTGGGTAAATTAGCTAAAAATTACCACTGTTAGCATTTTTAGTAGCATGACAGTTTTTCTAGTAAGTTTTTTCCTAATCAGTCATGATAGCAACTAGCATTACATTTTGTTGGTTGTTTGGTAGAAATATGTTGTAGAATTACTGCTATACAAAAAGTACAAATCTTAAAACAAACACCCTCAAACATAGTGGTAACTAACTTAAAGTAAAGATGTTAGCATTTTTCAGTAGCATGATTTAGCCGCATTCAAAACAATGTAGATTTCCCAGTAACAAGGCAATATTGCTGTTTTTTGTTGAATTATATTGCGCACACAACCTTAAACTGTGTACTAACTAAACATAAAACATTTATCTTCCATGTTAATTTCATTTTTTGTCCTAACCTGCGATGATTAGCATTACATTTTGATGTTTTGTTTCTGGCGAATGCAATCAGGTCCCCCATCCAAAGGGGAATTGATTTTTAATAAAAAAAATCTCAAAGACAGGCCTACTGTAAGATATGAGGTTGTTAATCGATGGTGTAAACTTTGTTTAAACCGTAAATCATTTTTATACTTATCTGATATTTTTATAAAGTCACTTACAATGCTTTATGGGATTGTAGTTCTTTCCCTCATTAAAGTACATAGTCTTATACCTGTCTTTTTGTCAGATGTTGTGATTCACCTCGTACCTGGTTGGTTTGGTTCATGGCTTATCACACCTTACTGAAGATTTTTGAAAACTCCCTGGGAAAATACTTCCAGAACCAAGGCTGCTGAAAAAGTGGGTGGGCACTGTTGCACTCTTTTACACTGAGTAGCCACACCCACAATAAATGCACATTGTACTGATATAGCACTCCTCATGTGTATTAATCAAGCTGACTGCTTTCAAATGTGTAGCTTTAATGTAGCTTTACTATTTATATAAGTGTGCAGCTTGAGTAGCCGTTACCTACAGCTAAGTAGCTTCCTAGACACACTGAAGCATCGCCCTTTTCTCTCTCTCCCAGCTGTCTCTGCCTTAAATGAAGGTGAAAGTGTGTATGTCGATCTAAATTGTGTTGGGAGCATGTGTGAGTGTATTAATTACCTCGTCCTGCAGCAGGGGCCAGGCATTAATAGGTGCCCGTGACAGGGACTGCTATTACCCTACGACGCCCCGACAGCTTCTATTAATATTGGAAATTTGTCAACTTAGCCTTTGTGCCATTGTGATGGATGACGCGCAACTCTGAAGGCTAATACCCACCGTCACTACTTGAGAGATTGTGTGCATGCGTGCGTGTGTGTACACACTGCAACACAGAATATAAGGTAAGGTTTAGACTGAAAAGAGTAAAGTACCTTTAGTGGAAAAAACAGTCACATGATCAAGGTGTTTGTGTCCATACGTGTCCTAGCCTTTCATCAGTACCCTATCAGTTGTGTCCATATTTTGATACTCTTTTTATTAATATTCTTTGGATATAAATGGATGTAAATCATACTTACCTGCAGTACAGAGTCATTCACAAGCTGCACACAGAAAACAGAGCTGCTTCGTTGTTGACTAAAGATAAACACATTTCTAAGTTTTGTTTTCTACAATGCATTGTAGGTAAAAATCCATCTCATCTGGCGCTCTTTTTTTGGCACTTTTCCACTGCATGGTACGGCTTGGTACGGTTCACTTTTGGGGGGTTTTCCACTGGGTACAGTACCTGGTACCTGGTACTTTTTTTAGTACCACCTCGGTTGAGGTTCCAAGTGAACCGTACCGTTACCAAAACGTGACGTGTAAACTCTGCTGATCACGGATTGGCCGGAGAGTATCGTCACTTATGGCGCTTTTCCACTGCGTGGTACGACTCTGCTCGGCATGGCTCAGTACGGTACGGAACGGCTCGGCTCGGTTTGCGTTTCCACTGCAGTTCAGTACCGCTTTAGAGTGGGCGGGATTATTCACGTGTCGTTTATAGTTGCGCCGCCTCTACTGCCACGACTCCTGAAAAACTTTTTCATTCTGCCTCGCCCCATCAAGCTCTTGCTGGATCCGCTCCTCTGCTATCAAATGAGAGGAATGTCTGTATTTCCTGCCTCCTCTACTGCCGCGACTCCTAAAAAACTTTTTCATTCCGCGTCGCCCCATCAAGCTCGCTGGATCCCTAGCTCGCTATTTCCTCAAAAGACAGCGAAGAACAGCCACTTTTTGGTTGTTAAAAAAGGTGCGCTCGTTCAAAACAGTTGCATTCGATCCTTCGCTGGCTGTGCTGATTTAAATCTAGCGGTTCTGTTGTGTCTGTGTCGCAAGTTCAGTGACGCAGGTAGTGACGATTCTCTCCGGCCAATACGTGATCAGCAGAGTTTACACGTCACGTTTAAACCAACCGAAGTGGTACTAAAAAAAGTACCAGGTACCAGGTACTGTACCCAGTGGAAAACCCCCCAAAAGTGAA